GTACTGGGAATGGAACTCATGACCTCAGGCTTGCCAGGTAAGCGCTTATGCCGCTGAGCTACATCCCCGGCCTCCTTAATTACACCAAGGTCCCATGATTACTTCATTTTCATTTCTGAATTCATAATCTGAAAGTATCTAATAGGTAGCTTTTTAAATTTATTTGCTTTTATTTATTTGCCTTTTTATAGCTTTTTTTTATTTATTTGTCTACTACAAAAGAAATAATATGATTTTTTTTAAATGAAAAAATAAGGAGTGGTCAGTCCATAATCCCACCTGCAAGGGAAACCACTGTTAACGGCTTGGTGGGTATTTCTCTGAACTGCTTGGGTTTCATTTCCATTCGTTCCGTTTAGCTGGCAGCCTTGGACAAATTTGTCCTTACATTGACTTAGCTTCGTCACCTCAGTATAACAGTACTGGCTTTGGGGCTTTGTACAGAGTTAGTAGAATGATACATGAGAAGTATTCACAAAATTTCTGACACATAATACATATTAATAAGTGCTAGTTTGTTTGCATGTATTTGTATAAGCTAGGTTATGTTGCAGTAAGGAACATCCCCAGGTGTCTAAGTGCCTTAACACAACAGAAGTTTGTTTCTTGTCAACTACATCTCTTGCACAGACTGGCAGAGCAGTTTCTCCATGCAGTTACGTAGGGCTCCCCCTCCTGGCAAGTTTCATTCTGCAGTGCTGGAACTCTGAAATAAGTGACATTTTTAGTAATGATAGCAGTGAAAAGACCCTAGGTAATCACACATGGACTTTTTATTGCCTTAGCTCATAATTGACACATGCATTATTTATTGGCCATAATTACTAACTACCAAGTAAGCTGGCACATACTGAGTATGGAATATTTGGTGAGTGCTACTACCTCTCACAGTCCTCCCTTTTTTTTCCAGTGTGGCATATCTTCCCCTATCAGTACATAGTCATTTACTCATTGAGTATTTGTTACACCCTTCTACATGACAGGAATTATTCTAGGTAATGGAATAAACTAGTAATGAAAATATTTGACAGTTGTTTCATGTAGTTTGTTAGATTGTGAATAGTTTAGAAATAAAATACTTTAAAAATTATCTCAGAAGGTGATAAATGTCACAATGAAGAATAAGAAAGAAATGATCACAGAAGACTTCCTTGAGTGTCATTTGAGTTAATTAGAGCTTTCACATCTGCATTTTGGAAAAAAAAATCACCATAAAATTTAATAAGTATTCTCAATTTTTCAAACAAAATTTTAACCAACTTGCTTCTTTAGAAACCATGCTTTGTCTTGATTGTTTCCCTGTATCCTCACTAACTGGCCACTGTCAGTGCACAATTGTTTTTTGTGGTAGTCTTATCTTTCCGGTTGCTAAAATCTTAATCATATCTTTTTAACCCCTCCCTTTTCTATAATTTCCTTTAAAGTAGCTGGATAAAGCTGGTTGAGGTGTTGTAACCTGCACTTCCAACACTCAGGTGTCTGAGGTAGGAGTTCAAGGACACCCAGAGCTATGTAGCAAGACCCTGTCTCAAAAACAAAGAAACAAAAATAAAGTAATTGGACATGTAAAGAATTATAAAAATTGTAAAATTGAGAAGTAAGACTTAGTGATGACTTTATTAAGTATATCAGTCCTTGATAATTCTTTTAGCATTTTGCTATGTTGAGAATGTAAAAGAAAAAAGAGCTACACAAAATACTGTATTCACAAGCAGTTTAAAAGTTTTGAGCATTAAAGAACTAGTTCAAAAATAAATGTTTTTTCAGATAATCTGATATAGAAGAGGTACAATTTGAATAGAAACTTTTTTTTTTTTAGGAAATTATCAATGGTTATTATTTTACATATTGTTATCTACAAGATAGTTTCTCAGGAAAACAAATAGACAAATGATAGTGAGTTACAGACAAAAGAGGTAGGAGATTATCAATAGTTGTTGTACTATACTTAGGTATCTTCAAAGTGGCTTCTAAAGAATATAAATAGAACTATACATGAGTGACCTACTGAATAATCATTCAATAATTCTCAATGGTTGTTGTAGGAAACACATAATAATAAACATGGATCCATTTATGAAATAGGATAGGAACAATGCAAACATTACAGAGTTATGGATAGATTAGTAGGAAAATATCAGTGGCTGCTGTAATACATGGTGTTATCTTCGAAGTGGTTTCTCAGGAAGAAAGAGATACACAAGAAGGATCTAACAAGTAGTTGCAGCCTAAGGGTTGTCAAAAATCAAGTGAGTCGTCTGGGGCAAAAGCCATTTTTTGTAGCGTTTTCTCTCCAGCCTCCCATCGCATTGGGACCCCATGTGCTGGGGTCCCTCCCTCCGGGAGCCTACGAGCAGGAAGCTATCCAGCCAGAGGACCAGCGCTCCCCGCCCGTGGCTCCCTGTGCACCGGAAGCCCTCCTTCCGGGGTCCCACCAGGCAGGGAGTGAGGCATCTGTCTGAAGACTGGCGCTCCCTGCCTGAGGCTCCCTGTGTGCTGGGGGGCCTCCCTCTGGGAGCCTACGAGGCAGGAAGCTAGCCAGCTGGAAGAACGGCGCTCCGCACCCATGGCTCCCTGTGCGCTGGAAGCCCTCCTTCCGGGGGCCCACGAGGCAGGGAGTGAACCCCCGGTCCAAAGACCGGCGCTCCCCACCCGAGGCTTCCCGTGTGCTGGGGGCCCTCCCTCCGGGAGCCTATGAGGCCTGAATAGAAACTTTCCTTAGTCATGTTTAACGATTCTTCAAAAAAATGTTCTTTCAGTTACTTTTTGTTGCCATAGGAACAGGCTACATTGCATAAATATTTGGTAAATCCCACCATTTTTTGCTTAAAATGACAGTCTCAACAATTAGATGACTAGGATTAAAGCAGAAAATGAAGTCATTCTAGTTGAAGATCAAAAATTTTGCTCAAGTCTCTTGTTTGACTAAATTGTGAGGTCAGTCTCCCAGTGGGAGTATCTTGGAAAGGTTATTCTCTTAGAACTACCCTGCACTTTAAGGGTAATGGTGACAGGCTTATCACACAGTGAGAAAGAACTTTCATCATAGACAAATTTGTCAGTGTTACTCATACAACTAGAATATAACATTTAAAGGAAAATGCATGACATTGCTGGGAAGCTATGTCAGAAGAACTGTAATTGGCTGGTGGTGTGGTTCATTGGTAGACACATGGTTAGCATGTGTGATGCCCAGCCCCACAAAAAAAAGGAGGGGGAAGGAGAAGTGAAAAGAAAACGGGGACGGGGAGAAGAAGAGAAACAAAGCTATGGCCAAATAAAAGAAATACAAATGTATGAAGTTGTATTTTCATGGCATGGGGAACTTGGAAATCTGGTACATAAACCGTGTTTTGTTTTCATGATTTGTTTCACCCTGTTGATATCCTACTTCACATGTTCAGAGAATATTGTTACCTTAGGAAGGAATGATCACTGAATTTGCCAACATCCAGTTGAAAACATTTTTGGGATTTGGAATGATTAATTTTCAGGATCGGACTGTGTCTAATTATAGGCCCTATTTAATCATAAAAGCAGTTCTGGAATATTGGCCAGATCTCAATGTCAAACAAGGTAAGGATGGCATCATCATGATTCAAAGGTCACCTAAATTGCTTTGAGACTATGAACAGTAGTTTTAATCTCTAAGCTTAATTTTTTCATCTGGAAGAAAAGCATAGAATATCTTCTTTCCAAGTTTTACTTGAATGTTTTGTATATGGCTTATCAAAATCTTGAGCCTAATTCTTGTAAGCAGAGGGAGAAATAAGAATAATTAAAAGAAGCACTTACAGTGCTATGGAATAGAATATTCCCTGTGTTCACTTCTAATCTTCCTTCTCAGGGAGAATTTCCTTTGTTGTCTACCTGAGAACTAGAACTTTGCGTTACACTCCTCTGATATATCCCAAATTTACTGTTCAGCCATCAGTCATTTTTTTATTCTTTCAGTGAGTTGATCATCATTCAAGTATTAAGATCCTGCCTTGTGCCAAGCACTGTGTGAGGGGCTTAGAATACAAAGAATAAGATTGGCATAGCTCCTGCTCCCTGGAATGCATATCAAAATAGGGGAGACCAACATGCCAGTACTCACCAATGCTTTGAGTTTAGCAGGAAGTACCAACTGCCATGGAAGCTTTCCGGAAGAGGGTATATTCCCTAATTTGTATGGTCAGAAAGGGATTTTAGGCATTTCAGCGTGAAAACAGGAAAAGTGAGATGCTGGCTAAACAAACTCCGTATTTACCTCAGAGGGAGAAGTGTAGGTGGAGGAGACAGTACTTGACTGATTTTTACATAGTAACAGGAAACCAGTATAGTGACATCGTAGAGTGGGAGGGTCCAGATTTTATAGATTATGGTTTATCGGAAGGTATTAGGAAGCCACTGAAGCTTTTGTTTGTTAGTTTTATAGATTTAGGCAAAGAAGTGTCATGACACCTTGCATTTTTTAAAAATCATTGTAGGACTGGGTGAGAATGGAGGAGGTGATGTCACACAAATAAAAACCAGCTAGGAGAGAAGTGGAGGAAATAGATTCTGGGAGAGGCAGACAAGAAGAGGAAAACAAGTGAGGTGACTCAAGAGGTGGTTAACAGAATGAATAGGATTGGGTTGTGAGGTGTGATTATTTGGATGCAATTTGAGTGTCCCCTAGGGTTTCCATGTTGAGAATTCATTTCCGTTATGAGGTATTAAGATTTAATCCAACTATGGTCTTTAAAGGTGGGACTTTTGGGAAGTGAGTAGGAATCAACAGTCACTAGGGTGGAGTCCCGTAATGGAATCCTGCTGCTTATGAGTAAAGGGGGAGAGACAGGCACACATACACACACCCACACAAGTGCAGACACTCTCTCTTGCCATGTGATGGTGTCTGCCACCTTGGGACCCTGCTAGCAACAAGGCCATCACCAGATGCAGCACCTTAAACCTTTTTTCTTTATATACAATTTTCTTAGTCTGTGGTATTGTATTTTTGGCAATGAAAAATGGTACTAATACATGATGGAATGATGAATGAATCAAGGATGACTTCCAGATTTCTGGCTTAAGCTAATGGGTGGGTGGCATTTACTTGAACAGGAAAGAAGGGAGGTGGCCATGAAGGAGAGACAATCTAAAGAATCCCAGTGTACAATATACACTAAGTACAACGTGAGAGACACTCATGAAACACAGAGGGCTAGTCTAAATTAATAAAGAGACAGAGATAGCATATTCATCAATGTTTTTGAAATATTTATTTTGAGGCAGGATTTCACTATGTCAGTGATGGCAAACCTTTTAGAGCTTTTGATGATATAGCCCACTGTAGCACATGTGCCATAGGTTTGCCACCACTTGCGCTAGGTAGTCCAAGTCTGCCTTGAACTCTGTGTAGCCCAGGGTAGCCTCAAACATACGATCCTTCTACACCCTCATTCTCCTCAGTGCTGGGATTGTCAGTATTGGAGGTTTGTACTGTTTTACTTTGTTTTTGGTACTGGTAATTGAACCCCAACCTTCATACTGAGCTACATCCCCAGCTTTTTTATTAGTTTTTACTTTGAGACAGGGCCTCATTAACTTGCTGAATTGCCCAAGCTGGGATTGAATTTGGGATCCTCCTGCCTCAGCCTGTGAGTGCTAGGATTACAGGTATGCACCACCATGCCCATGCTTTAGTATTGTGTTTCTTAAAAGTCAGTTCTTCCAAAA